GGCGGCGGTGGTGGTGGTGGTGACGATGGTGGCGGTGGCTCGTCTTCAGTAAGTCGTCGAATATCGACCAAGAAGCAAAGGTTTTTCCCAGACAAAGAAACAAGACTACAACAGAAACTCGAAGAATATTAGGCGAGGAGGCCATGTTGTTTTTGTTCAGAGTTAATTTCAGGGGATCATGGCTTATTAATTTATAGGCCAACGTCATATGAACTCTTTGAGAACTCATGGTCAATTACAACTCCTAATCCTAGTATTTCTATAATTAACTTCAAGTCTTCAGAGTTCTCTACGTACGGTACGGACAGCAAGGAGTCATTTTCCCAATCAAAGTCGTTTATCGTTCATAAAAGGGTCTACGTACGTGATGAAAAGATTTATGCCCATCGCGATGCTTACTTCAGATGTTTAGAGATAATGATTATATGGAAGCAACAGTCTTCATGTTATTATAACTCTAAAAACTTAGACATAAATAAACTTCAAAATGGAGATAAATAAGTTGTACTAATCTGTAAACTTTATTAAAAAATAAAAGCAAGCTAAATAATATCCTTTTTGCTTCCTCACAAAAGGAAAAGATTAAAGGAGGAGGGGAAAAAAAGAAAAAAAAGAAGAAAAACCAATTGACCAAAATATCTCCATTGACAAGAGAAAGAAACTACTACAAAAAGTTTACGAAAAAATTGTCCTCACTGAGCAAATCTAATTTCGAAGAAGAAAACAGAGTAGTCCGAGGAGAAGCGATATTAAGCCAACCGAGAGCAGCACTAACAACGCCACCAAGCCAACTACGGTGCCGATGTTGGTGATGGTGATGGTAATGGTGGAGCAGAGATTTGCGGGGGAGAAACTTCATGAGATTGCGGCGGAGCTGGAGCTGGAGCTGGTCAGGTGAAGCTACACAACCGGGGAAGATGTCCTTGAAGGCCTTGGGGAGCAGAGTGCAAACGAATGTGATGCTGAGGTTAACCGTGACGTTAGGCGGGGACGACGGTGCCGGCGACGGCGTGTGGGATGGGGTTGATGCGGGCGCCG